ACACCGGAAGCCGTGAATTAAATCATACTTGGGTCGATTTACCCACTCAGGCTCCCGGCGTGCCTCGTAACTCAGTTGGCCGTAATAAAGCCTTCCCGTGTGGACGTGGATTCGAATCTTCCACCGAGGCCGCGAATTTTGCACAGTTGGGTCAATTGAATTATGCAAATCTGCCAAGCGTGCCTAGTGGTCCTCAGGTGGATTTTAAATCGATTGCTTAGCAAATCCTGCCTGCGCAGTCAGCTAACTGTATCCGTATTGGTGGATTCCATACGTGCAGTAGGCTGGGCGCGTAAACCGACCCAAGTGTGGTTAAACTCACGGCTCCCGGTGGGGATCTCGTAACTCAGTTGGCTGTACTAAAGCCTTCCCGTGTTGACGTGGATTCGAATCCTCCACCGAGGCCGCAAATTTTGCACAATTGTGTCAATTAAAGCATGTGGACTAGCTGGACTCGCAGAGATTTTACCTTATTACTTTCAAACTGCAGCTCTTCCACGTAAATCAGAATCGCTGGAAAAGGACGTGGGCACAATGGCTCACGAGGGTCAACCCAAGTCTGTGCGTGCCAAACACATGTCAGCACCTATAAAACCCGTGAGTGAAATAGGCCTGGTCAAGGGAAATCCACACATAACACAAGATTTGGGAGGAGCCGCGGCACTGATCCTAGGTCCGGAAGATGGTTAGCCCTTTAATTGGCAATTATTCGGGTCAAAAATGTTAGCAGGCGGCGATCGTTTCCAGAGCGTCAGGCTGTTCATATTTAGGAAAAAGTACGTGCTGATCTCTGATCTGCCAGTTGGAGTACTGAAACAGAGTTCAGCTGTTAAGCGAGGCTATGTGGAAACGGCTATTCAGAGGAATACACCCTCTGCAATACTAGGGAGCGTGCCACAAAGCCTACTTCAGCAACTACCGAAAAGACTTATTTTTAAGACTGTCTTTTCTAAGGACAGCTATCACAAGTGCTCTCTGCGCGGCGATCTTACGCGTATTCTATGTAAATTCCCCTCTTCAAACGTAGGGAGCTATAGACCAACTGCCATTGCAGGCCAAATCGATGTGTATTCGTTCGGAATACGTTGGTCGTACAACAAGGCGTCTGGAAAAGAGGGTACGCGAACGCAAAGGGGGCCGAGGTAAAGGGAAAACTGATCCATTTCAATTGCAATTCTTGTACAGCTAATCGATACGAACCACAAAGTCGGCGCCAAAGAAGCCTTTCAGGTCATCTACAGAGCACCAGCAAACTACTCTAAAGGCGTACGCAAACGGGTTCTGGCGACAGCCGCCGACACAGTGGCATCCAATAGTAATGGGCCTTGATTTTTCAGTCACACGCTGAGCCACGGTGAGCCC